CAACATGGCCAGGATGAGATTCTCCCAGCAACGGGAGGCCAAGCCCTTTCGCAACCGAATAATCCACTTGCCACCGTTTTTATTTGCATCATCCTATAAAAAGAAAGCATTGAAGTTAAAGGCCAAGAATCCTTTGAGTATGAAGAAGCCTTATCACTTTCCAATTATTCAACTTTATAGAAAAAAATGACAATAGCACTAGGAGGAGAAGAAATGGGGAAAACAAAAGAAAAACAAGGCTGGGATCCCAAACTCATTTAATAAAACAGCTAAACAAACCTTTTAAAAATAATCCCTCTTTATCAGAGTTACTTCAGGAATCAAAATGAAACAATGTCACATTTCAAGCACAGATTACTCTTCATTTGCTAAACATATTTTGAGTGTCACCAAGTATCAAGAAAAAAGACATGAAGCCTCAATCTCTACCTAGATTCAGCCTAGTAGAGAAGACAGACAAGAAAATTAATCACAGTGATGCTGCTATAATTACAAGTGGTGCAGTAATAAAGATGTACACGATATGTTAAGGAACAACAAGACAGTTGGAAACACTCAAGAGGAAACAAAGGTCAGGTGCGGTAGTTCACGCATGTAATCCCAGAACTCTGAGAGGCCGAGACAGGAGGACTGTTTGAGCTCCCAAGTTCAAGACTAGCCTGAGCAAGCCCGAGACCCCGTAGCTGGGTGTTGTGATGGGCGCTTGCAGTCCCAGCTACTTGGGAGGCTGAGACCAGAGAATCATTTGAGCCCAGAAGTTTGAGGTTATTGTGAGATATGATGCCATGGCACTCTACCAGGGGCAAGAAAGTGACACTCTCTGTCTCATAAAAAAAAAAAAAAAAAAAAGGAAACATTTAAGCTGGATCCTGAGGGAAATAAGAGTAAGGCAGGGGAAGCAGGCAAAGGGAACTGTGGCACCAAGAACATGTCTTTGCACAAACTGATTGTGAGTAAGGGCACTATAGACAGGAGGGACCAGCTGCAGGGAAGGGAGGATTTAGAGGTAATGGAAGATACAACTACTGAAAGGTAAATTAGGTGTGAGATCATGTGATCAACAGAAAGCTATGAAAGACAGGAGTAAGGGGGGTGGCAGGTAAATGTGGCCACTTTTATCTTCTATAAAATTGCCCTGGCATCAAAAAATGTACTACAGCAAGAGTGTGACCAACTCTTGGCTTGGCAAAAAGATCACAGAGCTCAGCTTACTGCCTTTCAGCTTATTTTTCTTACCCATTTTGATCATATGTACTATATAAACACACAACACACAAGTGTTATGAGAACAGGGTTACTAAAAAAAAAAAGTCCTTTAAAATGTTATATCACCACTTTAGTCATAAAACAATCTTTAAAAACCATTCAGCATCAACTCAAGCAGTGGCACTGGTGCCTATATGCAAAGGTCCGGGTTCCAAGGATACACCAATTTGTGATACCGTTTTGAGAGAAGACTATCTATTCATTTATTTAAGATGGGGGTCTCACTCTGTTGCCAGGGATAGAGTGCAGTGGTATCATCATAGTTCACTGAAACCTCAAATTCCTGGGCTCAAGTAATCCTCCTGCCTCAGCCTCCGAAGTAGCAGGGACTATGGGTGTGTGCCACAATGCCCAGCCAATTTCTCTAATTTTTATAGAGAGATGCAGTCTTGCTCTTGCTCAGGTTCCCAAAATCAAACTCCCAACCTCAAGCAATCCTCCTACCTCAGCTTCCCAGAGCCCTAGGATTACAGATGTGAGACACCATGCCCAGCTGACAGAAGACTTTACAAACACTTGCTTAAAAAAAATAAGAAAAAAAACCATTTTTTTTTTGTTTGTTTGAAAAAGTAGTCAGAGGCCCTCAATCCTCACCTCCCACATAGGTTTAATTCCTTCTTTGAAGAGATGGAAGTCACTGTGGCCTGTCAGGTCCCCAGGACGTACCATGTGGCTATAAAACCTCCAGAACTGCTCCACCTGCAGAAAGAAGGCTAGAGTATAAAAGATGCATCTACTTTTTTATTGAACACATCCAAATATGCAAAATTATTTAAGAGCATAAGCACAGAGAATGCTCTGCTACAGTCTATCTATCGTTTTTGGAGGATATGTTTTTATTTGTGGCATTGTGTGGAAGGGAATACATATTAAAGAGAAAGCATATCGTATAGTTTGATAAAAGAAAAATGTAACACTGGGAAAATAAGAATAAATTCCTTGGGTGAGAAACACTAGCTTCAGCTAGGAGCTGTCATTGGTAAAGCCACGTTGTACTCTCCCAAGGAGGCTGCAAGATAATCACCACGTGCAGTAAGAGGACCAGTTTTTTAGACAATTTAAACCTTTTATTTATTTATTTATTTATTTATTGCAGTTTTTGGCCGGGGCCGGGTCTGAACCCGCCACCTCCGGTATATGGGGCTGGTGCCCTACTCCTTTGAGCCATAAGCACTGCCCACAACTTAAACCTTTTAGTCTTGAGGCATATTAAGGGCCACATGGCCTCAGCCTAAATGCATTAATAATCAAATCACTTTTTTTATCAAAGATTGTTTAACTGGAAAATAAAATTCAGCATTAACCAGAGTGAAATACATTTTAGATCTGTTTAGTTACTGAGCATAAGTGATAGGATCAACCACACATACTATTCTTTATTATGATGCTATTGAGAAGGCCAGGGGAGTCCAAAATCAAATAGGACTTAGCTTCCCATGGCTTGAGTGTATGTTCCTCTTCTTAGCTAGAAGAATTATGTTTCTCCTTGCCCCTCCTTCATAATCCTGTTAGAAAATGAGACTTACTTTTTTCTATTAAATGTATGCCTATATTCACTGTGGTAGTCCCATTTCTCTTGTCAGTGTCTTAAGAGGGAAGATTATTTTTGTATTTACAGAGGACTCCTTCTAAGTACTGACTAGCTAAGAGGCACACTTTAGGAAAAAAGAGAAAACAGAGGAGTCTACAGAGAAACAGCTCATATTCGCCAACACACTACAGAGGAGTCAATCAACACACAGCAAAATACGTAACTGGGTAGCTGAACACTGGCATCGAGGAGATAGATTCAGGTAGTATTTCTAGATGTGGGTAGCAACTGAAAAGAAATCCACCTTACACTGTATAAACAGGTGTTCTTTCAATTCCCCTCTGGAACAGGAACACTAGCCTCAGCTAGGAGGTGTCATTGGCAAAGTCACATTCCAGAGGCCAATTCCTAATGCTTGCATTACATGACAGCAGACTTTAAACATGTCATATCACATGTCCAGTGAGTACTGAAGAAGCCTTAACCCAACATGGTACTGATAATAAACCACTCAACTTAACAAAAGAAAACACAAAAACCCTCTTTCCACAAGCTGAGTAAATTCATATATGCCTTTTCTATAAGAAGAAAAATGCTAATTTTGCTAATTACATAATTCACAATTACTCCAAAATAATTTAACAGAATCCCTTTTTTTAATTAAAAAAACTTTTTTTTTAAACAGTGGAGCCTCAAACACCTGGGCTGAAGTGATCCTCTTGCCACAGCCTCCCAAGTAGCTGGGACTAAAGGCACATGCCACCACACCAACTAAATTTTTTTTTTTATGTCACCTCCAGTAAAGTGCTGTAGCGTCACAGCTCACAACAACCTCAAACTCCTGGGCTTAAGCGATTCTCTTGCTCAGCCTCCCAAGTAGCTGGGACTACAGGCGCCCAAAACTCCTGGCTATTTTTTGGTTGTAGTTGTCACTGTTGATTAGCAGGTGGCCAGGCTCAAACCCGCCAGCCCTGGTGTATGTGGCAAGTGCCCTATTCACTGAGCTATGGGCACCGAGCCACACACCAGCTAATTTTTATTTTTTTTCTAGAGATAGGATCTTGCTATTGTGTCCAGGTGGGTCTAAAACTGGCCTCAAGCCATCCTTCTGCCCTGGCCTCTCAATGTGCTGGCATTACAGGTGTGAGCCACCTTGTCCAGCTATTAACAGAATCCTTAATGAAAATGTACTCCCAGGGTGGCGCCTGTGGCTCAAGAGTAGGGTGCTGACCCCATATGCCAGAGGTGGTAGGTTCAAACCCAGGCCTGGCCAAAAACTGCAAAAAAAAAAAAAAAAAAAAGAAAGAAAGAAAATGTACTCCCTTATCAATGAACACAGAAGTGCAGATAAAAGAAAAATAAATAGAAAGAAAACACACTCTCTAGTTCCTTGTCTGATCCTCTGAGTGTTTAACCAGTTGTTCATAATGTAATGACTGCCATTTTACCCGAAAAGTCTAGCATTCCCACATAGCAGGCAATCAAAACTTCTGGGATAAATTCAAGAATGTTAGAAATGCATGGATATTTCAAAAGTTTAATTCTATTGTTCTTTCTGCCAAGAATTTCTTTCTCATCATCTGTTTAAATTCTATAAATTTAATTTTATGGCAGTGCCCATAGCTTAGTGGGTAGGGCACCAGCCACATACACCAAGGCTGGTGGGTTCGAACCTGACTTGGGCAAGCTAAAACAACAATGGCAACCACAACAACAAAATAACTAGGCATTGTGGCAGGTGCCTATAGTCCCTGCTATTTGGGAGGCTGAGGCAAGAGAATCACTTAAGCCCAAGAGTTTGAGGTTGCTGTGACACCGTGGCACTCTAACTAGGGCGACAGCTTGAGACTCTGCCTCCAAAAAAAATTTTTTTTTTAAATTTTAAACCCATTTCTTCCAAGGCAGCTTTCCCAAAGCTGAAATTAATTCCTCCTTCCTTTAAACTCCAAGAGTGCTGTAGTCATGCCTTTCCCATAGCACCACTGGGCGTGTCTCATTTCCCTAAAAACAGGCTCTGTGCCTTCATTCCTTTTAGACCCCTCGTAGGGTCTTGAATTCATTTAATAAACATTTCCTTAGCCAAATATGAACCAGTACATAAGCTATTTGTAGTATTTCAACAAAGCCTAAATTTACCAGTACTGAGTTTCAACACTAGCTCCCCAACTTAATCAAGTGAATTATGAATGACTTGAGACTTTGGATCAGATATTTAACCCAAATCTCACTTTCCTCTTTTTTTTTTTTTTTT